TCCCACGTGAAATTTCAAGGAGACGTGGGAATGGCATGAATCAGGAGAATTATCCAAGCCAAGCGATACGAGTTACAGACACACCACTCATAAAATGAATGAACCCCACCACTGCCCTCACTGTGGTTATTAGGACAGGAATATTAGCCAGACTTTATGAAACACCCTAGGACTGGACCAACAATTTCTCTGAAACAGCAGTTCCCTTGCGTCGGGCGGGAGCCCCGCGAGCCGGAGCTCACAGGTCGGGGCTCGCACCGGCGCGCTCGCCTGCTCCGCACCGGGCTGGGGCCCGATGCTGCTGCCGGGCACTGCGGAGGCAGCTGGGTTACAACCGTCAGACTCCCTCGCAGCTTACGTTGTCATCGGCCTTCTTTCAGTGCTCCAGAATTTTTAGAATCCAGCAAGGAAATAGCAATTTCAGGAAAAGCTCGGGCCATACCAGGCTCCAAAATCCACCCGGGCACTGCGGAGGCAGCTGGGTTACACCCGTCAGCCTCCCTCGCAGCTTACGTTGTCATCGGCCTTCTTTCAGTGCTCCAGAATTTTTAGAATCCAGCAAGGAAACAGCAATTTCAGGAAAAGCTCGGGCCATACCAGGCTCCAAAATCCACGTGGAGGGTGGAGGACGGTGAAATTCTACACATAAACTCCTGTCGTGCCTTCAGCTTACTAGAATAATATTTGTTAAATGCTAACAGAACAAACCCCATTTTTACACATCAAGTGAAAATAGCAAAGGAAAAATGTTTATCGGTCTGACATAATGACAGAGCAATGGTATTTAAAAGTATGGATTCAAGAGAAACAAACTCTCCTTGTTTATCATCAATGACAGCAATTATGTTGTCAAGTGACAGATGAGTGTTTTGATTTCCTCTTCCTGCTGTCTTTTTACCTTCAACTTATATTGTAGGCTTGCCACTGTTTATTCATGTACTGTTACAGAACCACTGAGGGGGGTTATTAATCAAGAGTATTTATTTTTCAAAGCAGTCACGCCGTGAAGCCCTGGATACAGCTAAAGCTTAACCCTACATCCTCCTCCAAAGCAGCGTGTTAGTGATGCTAAAAACAGCCCACTAGCCCAAATGAAGAGAACAGCCTAAGGAGGGGGCTTAACATGCTCCTGGACATGCAAACCCCAGTTCAGCCCCTTGCCCACAGTCCTTGTATTCACAAATGCCTGCAGAAAATGGACTAAATATGAAGGAACTGCTTAGTAACTGCATTTTGCCTCATTGTTACAGGCAGCTCCAGGCACAAATTCCCAGGGTGTACGGACACCGGTGTTTGCCAGAAAACACAAGAAAAGAAGAGCTGCACAACAGGTTTCCTGCTAGGATGGTAATAGAGGACACAATAAACCTACTCGCACTCATGATTTTAAAAGCACACCTGGTTTTTGCTGGATCCTCTTATGATTTTTAAGCACCACAAAGCGAAACGGTACGTGCTAGGGAAAGCGCAGGGCCTTTATTAGCCCAAGGACACCGAAGAGGCCGAGGGCACGGTTTCCAAGCATTATACTCCTGGAGGAGATCAATACTTTGTTCTCTCTCTGCGCTGAAATGGGTAGGCAATTCACAAAGATCTCAGCTGCTTCACAAGGAATGGCCGCGGTAGCAGGGCTTGCCGACAATTACTTCCTCAGGCAGCAAAACAGACTGCAACATTGTGTTGGCTGTTATACAGGGTTCAGGCTCCTGGTTAATATGTTCAGCTCCTCCTTCTTTAATAATCTACAGGTAATCTGGAATAAGAGCTTCTTTCTGTGGCTGTTGTTGCTGCCTGGTCATATGTTCCCCAATGGCTTTATGCTTTCAGTACAAGAATGAAGAAACGTCACGTGAAGCACTTCACGTCATGAAGCACGTCAGAAAAATGAACACATCCCTTAGCACAATAAACTGTTGGCTCATCGGAGGACACAAGGACTTCATATTTGCCTAATTTTGTTTGCTTTTATTTGACTCTCAAAAGCACATTTGCTTGATAAGCCACAACAACCTTCAGCCATGTTGAGGGAGTAAAGAATAAATATTCAGCTCTAGCACCTTCAATAAAATCTAAAAATACTTCAGTAAGCACCCGTAGCCTTTTCTAAGAACAAACTTGTAAGTGGGCTTAAAGCATTTGGTGTCATTACACTTCAGAACAATTTTGCTCCGTGAAATAAATTCAGCCTGCCTTTCTCCTGCACAAAGTCCCTTTATTAGTCAGAAGAGCAGAAGATGAGAGATGGGGAGCATATGGAAAATTAAATACAAAACACCATAAGCCTTCCAACACCTGATGGAAGAACATTTCTAATATTTATTTGTTATATTTGTTTATATTCCAATCTAGGTTGCGCTACTCTGCACTCACATCAACAGATCTTACCCGTCTCACCCTGCATCGGCTCTACAGAATATACCGTCCTTCAGGACATCAGTCTCGAGCTATGAAAACTCTTGTTTTAGTGTCCAAGCACTCTTGGCAAAAAAAGATGGAAAAGGTTTCACCTGTACATCTCAAGAAAAATGAAACCAAATACCTACCAGAATAAGCAGCATCTGGTAAAATCATACAGCTCACATCCAGCATGAATTTCAAAAGCACAACCACAGAGACTCCTCTGACAGTATATAGGCTTCAACCGAAATTTTAAAGCTAAATAAATGGAAGGCAACGTTAACTACAGAATCCCCTTGTCCTGGTTTCAGCCAGGATAGAGCTGGTTTTCTTCACAGAAGCTAGTGTGAGACTGTGTTTTGGATTTGGGATGAGAAACTATTGATAAGGTGCTGATGGTTTGGGTTGTTGCTAAGTAGTCAAGGACAGTCCAGCTTCTCGTGCTGGCCTGCCAGCGAGCAGGCTGGGGTTGCCTGGGAACCTGGGAAGGGACACAGCCGGGACAGCTGACCCAGGCTGACCAAAGGGATATTCCCTACCATAGGACGTCATGCCCAGTACATAAACTGGAGTTAGCCGGGGGGCAAAAATCACTGCTTGGGGATGGGCTATTGATCGCCAGGTAGTGAGCAATTGCTGTATTGGGCATCACTTGTTCTTGTACATTCCTTTGTCGGTATTATTATTGTTATCATTGTTGTTTCTTTCTCTCTTTCTGTCCTATTAAACTGTGTTTATCTCAACCCACGAGTTTTTTCCAATTCTCTCCCCCATCCCACTGGGGGAGGGGGAGTGAGTGAGCAGCTGTGTGGTGCTTAGTTGCCGGCTGGGGCTAAACCACAACACCCCTGAATGACTGCCATCATTCCCTGGACAATGAAGCTAGAGAGTAACATGACCAGATCATTGGAATTTCACTGTTTATGCCATAAAGGGAGAAGTTCTCTCGCCAAAGAAACAAGAATTGAAGTAGGCTGTTGCTTTTCCTCTCAAGCTGAAATCTAATTTGATACAGAGTTAATCTTAATTTACTTTTTTAAACCTGTGGCTCCCTTTGAGCTCACATTTGATTCTTGGTGCTTTCCAAGGCATATACTTATTATCCCATAAGTTATGGGATAATAAATAAATTTTCCCCCCAAAATTATGGGATAAATTATCCCATAACTTATGGGATAATAAATAAACTATCCCATTAAAATTATGGGATAAGTTATCCCATAAAACAGAGCAGAACAGCAGGCTACGCATCTGGACACACCCTGATTTACAGGTGTTCAACAGCAAGTAAACTTGAAATGCTGCAACTTTTAAATTTGTGATCAGGAGACTGAACACCAAACACCTCTTCAGGAAATGGCAACTATCTGGAGCAGGCGACAGGTTGCACTCACTACTGGTATGATGGCCAAAACATGACACCCCACTGGGTATTTGCTACATGTATGGGCTTTTTGCATCACATCTGCTGCATGTGTGATGTCTGCACTTGCAGAGCCCGTGTTACTGAAGGGGAAGCATGAAGGTGGTGCTGTTATCCAGCATTCTGATGCACTCATTTGAATTGCGTTTTTAATTTGAGCGAACCCAGCTAAAAGGATACCCTACAACGTAGATATTTACCAGTTCACATTTCCACACCACAGTCTCTAATGATCTCTGCCAGTCTACTACCAGACAGTATGTGCATGTGTGTGTATATATATATACACACACATATATACACACATACAGCCTCCTTAAGTTGGCATGGGGCTCCTTCAAGCTATTACCAAAAAAATCTTCAGTGACTGAGACACCATAGTGACAAGGACATCACCTTTTAAATTGGGTAGTATTAGTGAGGTCTTTAGAAATCTCATATTTACTTTAGGTATTTGAAGTCTTGTGATGAAGCTGTAAAGATGAGTAGACAGCACTGCCACAGTATTAACGGTAGCTTAGTACATACAAATTCTTGAACTACTGCTTGTAAGTAAGCGCTCAGATGGCACTGACAGTTATGCAGGTACTTGCTTCTGTACATGAAAGGATTTACAGTGTTCAAAAGATCAGAGTTATAAATAGTAAATCATGTAAGATGAAAAATAAAAGCAGAGTATTGATTCCAGCTACTGTTGAAAGGTGGGGTAGAACAAAAATAAGCATTATCATAAAGACAAATCCTTCACATTTGGCCTGTTTTCTTTGTAAGAGGATTCTTATGCTGTTGCAGGAGAGCAAGAGAGACAACTGTAGATGCAGAGATATTTCTCCAGAGAGCACGAAAGGGATCCTCTGTGAAGTTCAGAGCAAGTTGTCGATGAAGGCAACAAACAGGTGGCCACTGCAGTCTTAGTGCTGCTTTGTTACTGAACATTTCCCATCCGAACACCTCCTCACCGTATACACTGCTAGAACTCTCTGAAGAGACAGACAGTGGCTGGCATCATCTTTCCTCTAGAAAATTTGTTGGGTATCTGCTACATTAAACTCCACACAATATTAAAGCAAAAAAAGACAGAAAGAACTCTGGTGAAAAGCAGGAAACAAAACAAGCTCATGCTGCTACAAAGCAATGCATTTTCTTGTTTTATTTTGGATTATTCTTCACAGACACCGCCCCCCCAGATGCCAAGGCAGATTTGGAAGTTTTTTTGATGGATCAAGGTTGGCCAGAATACTTTCCACAAAAGAGAAACACAGTTTGTTAGCATTCAGAAAATTAAATGGAACCATGTTCAAAGCAACAGTTTTTCAGAAATGTGTAAGTTTTCACAGCCTGAGGCAGAGGACAAAAGATCACTGAAGACAAACTGACGTGCTTTACAACCTGTCCCTCAGACTCACTTGCTGCTTTAAACACAGGTTTGAAATTGGTGGTGGTAAATCTTATTACCCAACCAAAATGGCAATATCTGAAGTGTTCAAGCCAGCTGGCCAGACTGCAATTCATAGCTTTACTTTTATACAGCATTGCAAAGTTCGTGAAAATAGCAAAATTGTGTGTTTTCAAGATGTAAAGAATGTTACGCATATGTGACAGATGGATCCGTGAACTGGAAAATCTCATCATCATACAGATCTTCTGGTAGGTTTTCATCTCCATCAGCAAAAAACGTAGGGAACGGAGGGTTTTTATTGCAGTCCTTGTAAGTAGGCAATTTGCTATCTTTGACCTAAAAAGCAGGAGGAGGAAGGGTGGGGTTAATAAATCTTACAGAAGACTTTCAGACACCAGAAATTAAAGAAATGATCTTGCATGCATAAGAAAAAAACTCAACAACATTCACATTACACTTGTTTATCTGAAGAATTCCGGGTATAATCATCAGTTACTTTAACATCAACACCAGCTTTGAATTTAACATTCTGTACCCATAATTAAGGAGTTTTTAAAAACCAGCAAAACAAAAGAAAAAACCCAAAGATAATTCATCACTTGTGCGATAAACTTATCATTACTGTGGGAGAATCAAAACCTACTCTCATGAATTCATTGCTAAATATTTGAAGATGTTATTAAAATAAATGTGTGTAAGTATGGCTTGTTTAAACTGTGGTTCTATCACACAGTGCTTTCCCACATACCAAGTCATACTATGCAGTATAATCTCCTCTTCAACAAGCAAGACATGCTTTTGTATTTATGATACAAACTGATTATGGCAACTAATTTTGCAAAGATATGTGCGTGTGCTGTCTTCAGTCCCTCTGGCTACTGCAGAGCTGTTCTGTGACTGCAAAGTTAAGCATCTAAAATTCTTCACCCAGGAATCAGCACCCAAGTTTGTCAAACACGAGCCTTTAAGAAAGTTAATTTCCAAGAACTTATTTCCAAGAATTTTTAGTGCCACAGAGAAATTACTTTCCTTTACTGACCTCTCTGCATGTGGAAAGATTTAAAATCTAGCCCCTGAAACTCCAATCTTTGAAGAAAATTAGCAGCTAGAATTATCAGCAAAAAGCAGTTTGTCTGTGGTAGGAGATAGAAAGCTGGTATCTCTGAAAAAAAGAGAGCTACAAATTCTCGAGTGATGAAATTTTATTTAAAATTAAATTCTTCATTTCTATATTGTTACATATGATCCTGAGCTGTAATAATTCCCTTCACCCACTATACTCAACTGAATTAAAAAAAAAGTACAAATAGATTAGACAAAATTTTAGTATAGAGACGATAAGCTCTTCCTCTTTTTTTTGGTGGGCTTTTAAAGAACAGGAAGCTTGTTCTTACTTAGTTGGACAAGAACCTCACATAGGACAATTGTAATTTATATCAGAAATTAAATAAAACAATTTTATGCCCACTGACAGTTCTGTTCTGACAGCACTATATTTACCAGATTCATATCTGCTATTACTTAAGCCTTTCCCAAAGTCCATGAGGATTCCTGCAGATGAAATGCACCATAAATCTGACTTAAACTTCAGCTTCTGAAAGACTCTTCTGGTTCTGCCCCCCTCCTCCCCGCAGAAGTTCCAACAGTTTTCGAAGTGCAGGCTTGATAAACGAAAGAAAACCTTTTGCTAAGAATGAGGCGGTGAAGGGCTCAACATGTTGTACTGGTGAGGATGGCTACTTAGTTTTTCGAGTAGATCATTCCCCTTCTACCAGACACCTCCTTATGAAAAGTGTTCTCTAACCGCTTGTAAGCTGCCATGCGTAACTACTGAAGTACCTGTAGTCCTGCCAGACAGTGATTTACATTATGTATCTACATGGAATAAACTAGGCTGAGGTCCAAGTCCAAAGATCTTTGCTGCAACAGTTCCAGCAGCAGCGAGTTCAGAGGAAACACAGTCAGATAGCTTCAATGACGCCATCTGAACTGCCGAGGCTAAGTCAGTCATCCTTCCCTTTCAATACATTGCTGTTTCTTTTTCTATACGATGACATGTTTTAATAACTTCACCAGTTACCTACTATTTCCCTTGCTCCTTTCTCTTTTACTCCTTAATCCTATTACACATTATAAGCCTTCTTTGTCAACAGCAAAAACGCCCATGGTGTCTACACAAGTTACAATAATATCAGGAAGATTAGAATAAATTATTTTATTTCTGATAACTTATTCATTTCATATATATCTTTAAATGTTTTTCACGTCTTCTTCTTTGTTATTTTGGATTATTCTCATAATGAAATTATATGTGCTGTTACATAAAGGCTGTATCATTACAGGCAGTTTTGGACACAGGGAAAATGAAAGGAATTTAAATGTTTGTTTTCCTCTCCCCTCCTCCGCCCCCCTTCTCTTTTTCTTAAACCAACAAATTCTTATTACAGGACTTAGGAGTAAGACATCTGTTCTTAACTGAATGCAAACCCAACAGCCTAGTCTTAGTTCTGCATTAGTTTATCTAAATAAATGTAGATTTCTGTTCAAGCTTAACATTGTATTTTACATACTAATGTCAAGTGGCATTTTGCAGACAGTGTCTCTTGTGTGAAAAGGAGAATTCTTAAAGTAGTTTTAAGATTCTTATGAAACATTTTCAACAGACCATTGTTGCTTCCAGAGGAGTACAATACTGTTTCATTTTGCCCCTCCCAAGCTCCTCAGAAGCTTGACAGATCCCAGAAGCACAAACCACATCTGATGATAAAATTATTTTCTTCTGATACGCTCTTTCTTTTAACTGGTATAACTGACACAGAAAAAACTATTAGCTTTTTTCCTAGAAGATCAACACCACAGACAGTAACTATAGGCCCTGTGATCTAAGAAGATACACCAAGAGAAACAGGTATTACCTGAGATAGGCACAACACACTAATTGACAAATGCTTACTCTGTGATTTTACTCTTGTAGCAGAAAAATTCCATACGTTCTAGCACTCTGCTAAAGTTTCTTAATTTTATTAGACCTTGTCATTGAGAAAGAAATCCACGCTAAAGTAAGCTTTTTTGATTAGTTTTCAATTTGGCTAGAAACATTACTTAAGTCAGTTATTTACCCACATGCTTCAGTGTGCAATATCAAATGAAAACTGATTTCTGATTTCTAATTAAACCAGGAATCCATCAATCCTAGTATTCTACACCTCTATTCTGCTGAAAATGAAACTTGAAAAAATTAAGTGCTTCATCTCCGTCTGGATACAGTGCTGATTCACTAAGTTTCCAAAAATACATAACATACAAGATAGATGTATGCTTTAAGGTGCACTGTGGTTTTAATGGTTACCAAGCAACACAGAGTGGGTACTGAATGCAAATGACTTCCTCTTAGAGACACACAAAGAGGAAAGTATTATGTGATATTCCACTTTTTGAGCTCAGATGGATCCAATCCCCTAGACATTAGTCCTACCTTATTATAGGCAGGTATTTAGTATAATGAACAGTAATGAATGCTAATATCCCATAATTTCTCTCTCCAACTACAGATCCAAGCAAACATACAACAATGTATAGAAAGTGAAAGTCTATATGCAAATAAGAAAACACCCTGGAAGAAAGGCGTAAGACACAAGCTAAAAACACCACAGATGAATGCAGCGAGATTAAATGAGGAAAGAAAAGCCAGACATTAGAGAACACATGCCAAATAGTATTGTTTTGCACGCTTTTTTCATTAAAGCTTTCTCTACTCTTCAGAGACGTATTTGAAAATATAAGGGAAAAAATTAATACATATAAGTCATATGGCTTATGGAAGGAAAAAAAACAGAATGAGCTCACCAGCTTGAGGAACTGGAATGAACTGTTGCTGGCTACATACTCCCTCCAAGCACCAAATATGTGAGTGGAGGCAATTTTTAAAAGTCTATTTCTTAATAGTAGTAATACCTACTACTGTGCCTTCACCTCAGACAGTGTTATTTATTACTAAAAAGACATGAAAGTTTGAGTCTGGAGCACTTTGGTCAAGATCTTTCAAATATCATATTATGTTAATCAAAGATCTCTAAGGGATGAAATTCCTCATTCTTCCCATGGATCCTCAATCCTCATTAATGGAATCAGCTGCAACTCCGAAATGCGTATGCCAAAATGCATACTTGAAGATACCTGGACTTCTGAATTGTAGACTTGAAACATTTTCAAATATAGGCAACTTACAAATACAATTAATACAAATTCTGTACCTTGTAAACATCATGTACAAGGATTAGTAAAGCAGTCAGAAAAGTGCCACTTAGTTAATACTGACCAATTGTTTACTTGAAAAAAAACCACGGAGCCATTTTAACTTTTGGTCTTAGAATAAAGTTCCAGTCATCATCTATGGCGAGTGAACTGAACAGAAATCACTCCTAGACATAGCAAGCACTTAAATGGTACGCAGCTGACTGCCATGGCAAACAAAGTCCATTATCCTCTTCACATCACAGATGTCAACACGGTTGTTTCACTGCATATGCTCAGATGGCTTGGCCCAGCAGTTGCTTGTTAACAAGGATGTTGACTACGGCAGTACTGCTTTCTCAAGGATTTTTTTAAGCTAACAGCAGGACAGCTCTCAGAACAAAACCAGTAAATCCAAGGTGTTAAGGGGGATGCTTTCCAGCCTAGGCAAGAGTAAAGTCTGACTAAAGAAAAACTGGAAGTGACCCAATCATGAGAGAAAGCACGTAACACTTCCCATAGGTTCTTCTCCAAGCAGAAGTGCGCAGTGTCTGATTAGCAAGGAGACATTGATTTGTTTAAATGAGTGCACATAAGAATGTGTGGTCTTAACACATACAGCTTTGCTTTTAAAAACAGTTTATATTACAGGTGTTCAATAAATGTTTGTTTTCTTAAGTCACGTAAAACCAGAAATCAAAAAATGAATTTACTAAGTCTAGTTAGAACAAAAGTTATGAGCTGGTAGAAGTAAAGTACTGCGTTCAGAGTCTCAATGGCTTCATAAAATGTTGTATCCTCGCAGATAAGACATCTGAAATGTGTACATGCAGTTGCCACTGAACCATGTAGGTGTGGATTATAACAGCGTGACTAGAAGAACAAGATGTACTGTTGCTTAAGAGTACTATTAAGATCAAAGAATAAAGTCTGGGCATCAAACGTTACTCATTTTTTCAGCTACATTACGTTGCTTGTATACATATGTTATAATTTAAAAATAACACCCTACAACAAATTCACACTTAATTAAACCTCAGACTAACATATATATATAGCAATCAGGTTCATAGCTCAGGATTAGAAAAAACACTCAGAGTGTTGAAGAAATTCAGTCTGATACACAGATGAAGCGCCAGTCAAACTACAGCCTTAAGTCTATGTCACTATGTCACCATGCCTAGTAATTTTGCAGAAGTTATCCTGAAAACTACTTCTAGACATCTATTAACCGATTTTCACTATCTTGGGAGAGAAATATGTAATGTATTCTCCAGGCTCAGGCTGGACATTACAACCAAAGCAGTTTACAGATACCTCACTCATTAAAAAAGGCCTTATTTCCAATGAGAGAAACACAACAAACAATTTTTCTGTGTGTAAAACACCTTTTGAAAGCTAGGATTGCTTTACTTAATGACCAGTAACTGTGGAGTTCTGCTCTACTACTAGGAAATACGTAACAGAAACTGGATGCCCAGAAAAAAATATGACAAGAACAAAATAAACTAGTTGAAAACACCAGAACTTTCTGAACTCTAACTTTTTAAGAACTGGATCATTTAAATCCCTACACTACTTATGAGGATTTTAAACTAAATATCAGATATATGTACAACAAAATCTTTATAATCATTCATTAAAGACGCTTGATACCCTGTAATTTATCAAGTCAGAAAAGAATCAACTTCCTCCAAGCAATTTGTGTTTGCAGATGTGCAGAATACACCTAAATAGAAAGAAAAGGCTGTTTTGAAAATAATCCTTAAAAGTACTTTTCTTGCTTGGATGTGAATTATTCACCTTGCAAGAACACATATTAGACTCTTCATTGTTTCAGTTTTTCATAGACATAGTTTTTCCTGAAACAATCTCCATAAAATTTGAAATTAATTCTGTAGAACGTCATGGAAAATAACACTGACATATTTATACTGATTGCAAAGGGAACTCATATCATTATTGTGAACTCCAGCTATCTCCTCCTGTATCTCAAATGCTCCTTGGAAAGGTAATTGCTACTGTGTATGTGGATGCTCTGAATAACCTTTAAAGCAGTGCTTACTGTGTATTTCTGTTCATGAATACAGACCTTAAATAATATTCTGGAAATCTCACCACCATGCTATTGACTCAGGTTAATATTAAAAGGGGATGGGCCTGGCCCTGAGACACTTTACCACAGGGTTACAGTGACTGTGTTGGTTTATCATATGTGAGGTGGGTGCACAACCCCAGTGCAAAGCTAAGAATGAGACATTTAGAGTAAGCGGTGACCCACTGCCCCTATTAAATCACACTTTTACAGAGCTGATCCTACTGCCCTTTAATTCAATAGTACAAGATGGAACTCCAAAGAAATGAAGATTGCATTCAAGCAATGTTTTTCCTCTTGTAAGAAGAGAGTTGTAGAGAGCTTACTAATACCAGTAAGTTGAAACTAGCACACATACCTTCACCAGACAATTTGTGTGACCTGGAACAGACCCATTTACATAAATAATGTCATGTTTTGTGTTGATCCTCCACACCTAGAAATAGAAAAAAAACACACATAGAGCTAGTTTTAGAGACTATTCACAGTTTTATAAACAGTAGTCCAGCAAAGCACAAACTGATCAACTGGAGGTAGTACTCTGGGGAAGCCGAATGTTCTGCAACAGGCCTAAACTTAACCACAAAATTCAGTCACACACTACTCTCAGAGCACAGCTCTCTAATGCAGGAATCTATTAAAGGGGTTGTGATCAGGCTATATGTAGTAAGGCAGCTCTTTGTTCAGCATAACATCAACCGAAGATCCCAAGTCTTTTACCCTCTAGCAGTAACAGCCATTGGAAAACATCATATATGACAAATTAAAACAAATAGGCTCATGAAAATGTTACCACGACCATTTGTTAATTTCTCAATTCTATGAGGTGCCCAACTGAACATGTATATTTTCTGTTACAAAAAATTAGTTTTAGTTACCAGAGAGCAGCAGCAGCAGATTCTTTTGCAAACTAGAGGCTAATATTCTGTTTGTGCAAACTGCAGAGGTTGCCTTCAGAGACAGAGAGTAGTAGCTGTAATAGCCCAGGAACTGCTGCAGCCATGTACACAGCAGAATCCAGAGAGAACCTATAGTCCTCTTTTTGCACATGAAAGTGAAGGACCATGATAAAGTTAGGACTTCAGACAACTGAGATTTGGGTTGGGTTTGAACAAGTGGAATAGGCCTGAAAACATTAACTGAAGGTAACCAAAAGCCCGTTTTCCCACTTCAAAGGCAGACATCAAGGGACACACTGAAAAACACATCAAATGTGGAAGTATCACCTGAAATCCCAGTTCCCAGGGTACACAAAAGCAAAACAAGTTCACATAACTTACTTGTAACCCACACAAAGACAGGAGCGCACATTTGCTGCTCTTGTCCTTCCAGCTTGCTTACTTCAAGATGCTCCTGTCTAGATTCTAACAGAAATGACAGACAGTTCGCCAACACAAGGCTACATGGCTAAGTCCGTTGCATGGCAATTGCAACCACCTTATACACATTCTAGTATACTCAGAACTCACCTTCAATCCAAAAGACGTCCTATAGATGTTACCCATTCGGCCAGGCATTTTCTTTCCACGATAAACTTTGGCAGCTTTCTAGATAAAAACAGAGCCAAAAAAAATCATGTAACTGCAAGAGGTACACTTATAAACTCAAGAGGAGCAAAGAAAATACGCTGGTATTTCCGATGTTGAAAGTATCTAATATTGATTAGCATTTTAAATACCTCCTGCTGGAGGTTAGGTATTACTCTACATGTTATCTGAAATACTTGACCTCAATCATAAAATTGCTATAAATACTGCTATATCAACAAAGGGATTCTAGCTTTGCTTAATACTTAATGTGTATAGATGCAGAGCAAAATCTGCACTCATCCCATACTTTCACTTAGTGAAAAATGAAGAAGTTTTTTTTCCTAAACCCTCTGTCAACACAAGACTCTCACCTACATCACAGACTGTAGCAACTCTAAACTACTTGTGGATGCTACCACAGAACTCCAGAGCAGTCCTGCCCTGGAAGGCTGCCAAAATGAAGATATACTGTAGCTTCTCCCCTCTCCCTAATCCATCAGTTTTATACTGATGTGAAACAGATTTTTTTAAAGCATGTATTTTTGAGAACAAAATTTTTAATGACATTCCCTGTTACTGCTTAGTTTCTGTATCCCATTTTTGTTTGGCTGGGTATAACTTGGAGAACAAAGGTGGAAAAGAAAAGGCAGGAATAAGTGCAATAATTTTCAGTTCTACAGTATTATCAAGGGATTTGTCTCACTTTCCCGCACCACTCCATTATTCATTAGTAATGTTGGGGTTTTTTAACTGATGTGAAAATCATGATTTCAGGAAATCAACTGCAATGAAGTTCGAGGGACAGGATTCTGTACTAACAATGCAGGATTACAAAAATATCTCAGGTGGTCAACACCAGAATGGAAAATAAAAATCGAGGCATTGTTTTTCCCCTACTGCATCCTTTCTTCCACCTTGTTTCATTTTCCTCATGCCTATTTCCAATACTATTTCCCATCCTATATACTTCGTGAAATTACATCCAGAATTACTGCTTAGGAAATTCTAATTTAAAGAAAAGTAAAGAGGGGTTATTTTGTAACGGTGAATACCATCTGCTAAAACAAAGTATGGTATATTCAAATATTTACGTTCTTCAGAGAAAACAGTGCCAGGTGTAGAATTCATTTTCCAGCTAAAATGAAGGACTATAAATCAGTACTGTATACTTTTACAGTCTCAATTATTGTAACTGCATTAGCTGGTACCTTTTTGCTTTTACTATTCTCTTGAGCATTATAAACCCTTATTTTTATTTTAATTTCTCTAAGAAAATTACAGACAATTCAGGCTCAGTACTGTGACTCAGTTGGTCTTAATTCTGTATAACGAAGCTAGTTTGCAAAAAATCCCTCTTAGTTCAGCCTAAATATTATGCAACCTTTATAGAGACAAAGTTTTAAATGAATCTGTTCCAAAAAGCTTTTAAACTAATATTATTTATAGTTTGAAACTTAAAAATACTACTCTGTACTCTGCTTAAAAATGCTTAGAAGCCAACAAACTATTTTGGGAATGAGCGAGTTCATTAAGCAGCTACATAAGCCAGGCAAGGTGATAAAAGCAACTAAGGTTCCAAAGAATAGTACAGTATCTGCAGTATAAAATAATGGGTAAATCCCTTCCAATCAATAAATGTTCTGATAAAAGACTCTGAGCACTCTTTTTGAAGCATTAAGACTATTTCTCTCAGCTATACTACAAAATAGCACAATTTGCTCAGTTAAAATATTTACTCGCTTAGCAGCAATATAGAGTATTCATAAATCAAGGCATAAGAGAACAGCTATCTGCATTGCTCATTATACAAGTTTCTGAACTTCCTTTGAAACAGCTGGGATCCTCTGCTACCACAGAGTAGATGGTAACAGCTAGCTATTGTGAAAATTGTTCACTTTTAGTAAGCAGTTCTAAAAATACTGAAGAATGTTTAAACAGGAAATAAGAATCCTCACATTGGTAGATATTGCTCCAGGACGTCTGTGAGTTTTCGTCTGGCCGTGGCTCGCAGGTTGACCTTTAAATCCCCACCTTTTCATAACACCTTGAAATCCTTTACCAATTCTGGAAAAAAAAAAGAAAAAAATTAAGAAACAAACCTGGATTAGTCAGACTCATGGTTTTCAGCAATAACCAGTAATTTCAGCCAGGCTCACGATCTTTTTACCTTTAGGAAAGTTCAGCAGAGAGAAGAATATGTTTCTTTTTTTAAAAATCTGTATTTTATAGCATAAACATATTCTATTGCAATACTTCAAGGTTCCTTTACAGAACAAGAAGCACTACAAGAGTCAAACAAGCAGAAAGACTAACATAAAATGCTCCTTGCTGCGATGGTCCTCAACACATGGTGCCATAATGAAGCTTTCACCAAGTGGACATTAGAACAAACAAAACAGACAACCAAAAAAACCAAATAAAATGCAACTGTATAACAACATGCACCAAAACTTGCTGATAGACCGTAAGCATCAAGAGAGGAAAAAGATGGCTGCTTAGACTAACATAAAAATAAACCAAGGAACATTTATTTTCCAAACTACAATAGACTCATCTCTTGAAAACAGTTTTATGTGCAGTGAAAACACTTAACTCTCCTGATCTGTAATTATCTGACAGATAAGGCCTAAAACACAATAACAAATACACACATTTTCAGAGTCCATGCCTTAATCTTTGAGGCATGTGGCAGTATTACTGGCTTTGGAGTTCTCTGTTTACTGCAGGGCAGAGTCAATAGGAAAAGCTGCCTCACCACTGCACAAAAGAAAAGCTGATTACAGTGTGTGTTTAAACCAGCATTGTTTGCTTCCAAAAGGAAAAGTCTGACCACAGGGTTTATGGCTGCACTAATTATTTAATTAATTAAACAAGATGATCCTTTTCCTCCAGTTTAAAAAAATCCTTTCTCTGCTGATGCACTTTGCAATGTCATGGTTCTATTCCTTCAACCATTAGCACCTTCTGGCCAAACACCAGAAAATAAAACCAGGTATGAACACACATGCAGTACACTGTATATATGGACTACATTTTGCTGACTCCTCTGATCATGTGGAAAACACCAACATTCACAAAAAACAGATTCCTTCCTCTTCCACTTGAGTAACTCTCCTCTGATTGCTGGCCTAGCTGCCTTGAGCAAGTCAAACTACAGTCAAAACCAGCCACAAATGGAAAGACTCTCTAAAAGCACAGAACCATAAGGAAGCAAGACTTGCACAACCACGGTGTCCGGCTCTTGGTTTTCCCCTTCCCTGTTCAGAACCTCGTGGTCAATTCCAGTTAAATTTGGCACAGAAGAAAGATATAGAATTGTCTGAAATGAAAATTACTAGTTAGAAAGTCCTGATCTTTTTTTTTTTTTCCTCCTTTCCTACAACTAAGGAAACACTAAAACATGATTAAAGTAGCGATGAGTTCCTTTGGCTTGCCAGCTGGCCAGTCGTGCAAGTGGCTGCAACCAGCAAGAGCGTCCTTCCAAGCCAGCAAACGGTGGTGCAACATGGGGATATGGAGAAGGTCTGGGCTATGAGAGGAAGCTGAAAGAATCTGCAGGAGGGAGGACCTGGGTTTCATGAGATCAGGATCACAAGACAGAAATCTAAAGGATGCAAGACTTTGTTACACCAGTTTCTCATGAATCAACTTATTTTATGAGTTTGCAGTAATGAACAGCGATAGTTGTAAAAAAAATGGTTTGAAAAAATACACTTTAGGAGAGGCTCAAAAATTGCCTTTTTCTACATCTGCAGATTTCCAGGGGATTACTAACTTTGAAATACATAGCAGAAACTAAGCTATAAGAAAATGTGTATCTGTTCTGAAAAAATGATATTTTTTTTTCTTTGAAACTATCTATTATTGGCCATATTTTCCAAGTAGACTACTTCTGGCACCTCTAGCTGGAAGATGGAATTAGCAAACTCTCTAAAACCAACTGCAAGTGGGTTGCATAACAACAGCTGTGAAGTCATCAGAGCGAGCAGACTGCGGGCATGATTTATTCTTCAGCTGCAGAAATGTATTTGCAATTCAGAGAAAACCATACAACCATCGAAAGTTACCATTTCAAAGGAAAACAGTACTGTCAAATTTAATCAAGAAGCATAAATCCCTGATGTCATGAAACCACTTCAATATTTCATTCAGACTGTTCTTTTTTAAACATGAACAATTTGGAATATTGTAAACTGCACTTTTTCATAAAATATAAAAGAAATAGTTAATAATTGTAAGATGCATTTTGAAAAAATGTTTACTTCAGCAAATGCTATAAGGTATCTTCAAAAAGAAGCAATTATATAGGAAGATACAGTTGCTAGTCTTTAATGATTTATGCAATGGACTACACTCATCTACTTCTTGGTCTTTCCAACTACATATGTATTTTCTGTGAACAAAGACTCAAACTTTACAATACCAAAGCCTTAGGAAATTTATAACAAGTGTGTCCAGACCAAAAAAAAGAGCACTCTGGTAACCCTGAAAATTCTCATGCAACTGGAATATGAAAACAAATCTCCAACATCTGAAATATTCTGGCTAAAGTCAAGGAAAGATATCTCAAAGCTGAAAATAAAGCATTTTATAATGTATAATGCTTCACCATCTACGGAGGTTCTTTCATCATATTAGTTCAATACTGTTTTAGAACAGTTTAATTTTTTTATTTTTGAAAAACTGATTGAAGGTCTCTGAATTATCTACAAATACACTTTCTCTCATGACTTTTTGGGCATTAATTTTCTATTCAACATGGTGCAGGCACCATCATGATTGAAAATAAAGTTTTTATTAATTAAACAAGAAGCTATAGTTTTGTTTAATTTTAGAGTTTTTGATTTTTTTAAAAGAATAAACAATGTATAATGTTCTTTAAATACATGTCAAATTGAAAAACAATTACACAGACAGTATATATTTCTTCCCAGACTCATGATTTCTCTGAAATAAAGTTGGAACCAGAATAAAAACTACAGGATTACATAAATCAAATGTAAAGTTTAAAATAAAGTAAGGAGCTACTAACATCTGTTTAAATCAAATTTAGAAAGGAGGACTGTTCAACTAGGCACTTAGTAGCTCAGCCGATATACCTTGATCATTCTAGAAGAATAGTGTTTTTCCAACCTAGGTCCACCTTGATGTGACTATGATCTGTTCTCAGACAAGTGGTGGATTTCTCTACCATATGCAAAAAAAAAAAAAAAAAGAAAAAAAGAAAAAGAAAAAAAAAGAAAAAAAAAAGAAAAAAAGAAAATAATAAATTTTCCATGACTCAAGATTTATCTATGTTTCTCATGTTCTCATGCAGAGATTTTACATTCTTACAATTGTATGCAATTCAAAGTGCTTTTGAAATTAAGATCTTATATAAACAAGGAAGTGAACTTAAGATGCATGCTGTTCAAGAAATGCTATGGAAAAAATCAGAGAAGGATTTATGTAGTTTTCAGTTTACGAAAACTTTTTAAATTCTGCCAAAAAATTAACAAATATATGTAAGAATACATTCTTGTTGACTTCTGAACAGATGCCAGGTGTCAGCTATTAGTATCACTTATTTATTTCAAATTGTTTAGTTGCCCTCTTCACCCTTCTAAAAAAATTACAAGGTGTGAATGCATTCAGCAAGTATCACCAATAAAATAAAATAAAAAAAAAAAAATCATTGAAACTAAACCTAAAATGGTATTTTTCAAAAGTGAATGAAACAGAAAAATCCTCTACATCTTGTTCATTAACATCTGTGAAATCTTTATAAAGAAACACAATACAACTAATCTAGAACAAACTCAAACACGCATAAGAAGAGGTATAACTCCAAAATCTCTTAATAGGCATAGTACTGACGACTTCAGATATTTTAAAAAAACATTAAGGTTTTTCAGAGTAGGATCTTAATCCAGAACCACATATTAATTAAACAGAATTAATATCTAGATTCCATTCTGAAGGAATCAAGTTGTGTGCAGTATCTGAGATATGATGATCAAGAACCTACACTGAAGTAGAAGGTTTGTCATCCTACTTACACTGTTGTGATTTCTTGCTAAGACATCTTCTACCTCTTGTCTTGGCTTGAATCAAGGACAATGTATTTTTTTTTTTCTGACAACAGTAACATTAAACACCATATCTAAACAAAAAAAAAACCCAAACATGCAGGAGACCTATCTTTATTAGACTTGATATGTATAATGCCACTGTTCTTCAGTACATGGAATTTAGTCACTTACTTTACTTAGCTTGACTGAAGCATGATTGCCTGAGACCCAAAAAGTAATCACAAGCAGCAATGATGTTATGCAAAACTAAGACACACAAATGTTAAAGGAAAGGAAAATAATCTTTCTGTAGAATTAAAAATAGAGTTTAATTACATACAGTTGCTTCTAGTCTCACCTGCAGGAAAGCAGCTGTTCTGGTCAACCATCTAATTTTGTACAAAACCTCATTTTCCAGGTTTGATGCAAGTAAAATGCCAGTACCTAATGAGCCAGCTTTCATTTAGAAAGCTACTGGAATAAAGCATTCTAATTAAGCGACAATTTAGTTTGCTGCTAACTCTTCAAACTTAGCTAATTTAAAAGATGATTATTTAGATGCTGCAGAGTAAAAGGATTCCAACTACTTAGTCAAATAATGTCAGACAATTGTAGAGCATACTTTCAGGCTCAGATTACACTGTTAATGTAACAAAACTTAAATAAACCATAAGCACACTAGAATCACCACTTAATTCTAGCAGATTTAAAACAAAACTTCTGTTGGCTTTTTCTTTGGAATGACAAAATTTCTGATGTTCAAAATGTTTCCTGAAACCTTCGTGAAGCCAGTCATGAAGTGGCAGAAAAAGGAGGTGTAACACAACTCATGTCTCCATACAGCATTGGGTTGCCACTCTAAGGCACAGTCCCACATCTCCCCATGCCCATGTTTTGGTTAGCTTTGTACTAGTGATGAAGCTCACTCAGCTGATCAGCTGAAAACTAACCCAGTGAAGAATACAGATACAACACATTGACATTTTCCTTCATGCAACTCAGGATGCCAGTACCAGCGATAGAAGGTCGATGGAACTCTGTGGGAGCAAGCACCACCTCCCTTTTGGGCAGCAGCCTTTACTACACCAGCTTAAAGAGGTCACAGAAGTACACAGCCTGTGAGAGAAGCGTTTCTCGATGGTGCTATGTATTTTAGCCCAAAGCATATCAGGGCTAAAACAGACCATCAGGCCCCAGGAATTCTGAAGTTTACTGCTGTCCCAAGAAGGGCACTAAGCCTTTACACATTTTTGAAACACACCTCTGAAGCATGGAGGAAAAGTCTTGTCATTAAAGACTGCTATAAAAGTTAAGGATTGAGCTTTTAAATTGCTGAAAGTAAGTACCAAGGAAAAAATTCAGCACTAAATAAGACTGACAGCATGCAGATGCACTGCCTACTGTCAGTGCTCTAAAAGCTACTCCTACTGTGCTGAACAAATTACCAGACTTAAATAAAAACAAACTGCTTACACCCTTAACTGAACCGACTCATTTTTGTGAAAGTGTTTTTCTTCAGAGGTATAAATGAATCAAAACATTTCAAAAGACTTTGACACAAACATTTTCAAGGAAAGTTTAAAAGCAGACAGTCATTAAAAAAACCCTACCCTACACTTTGGTAGCCAAATCAAGATGGTAACCTAGACTTTTGAAACGTAGTAGTGCTAGTACTTTGCTCAAGCTACAATAACTAAGAAAAGCTTCCTCATTTTTAAGGACCATATTTTTGGTTTACATTTTGGCAGAAGGAAGCATATAAAAGGATATCTTGCTCATCTGAATCATTAAAAATTGGTAAAAAATTAAAATATCCTTTATATTCCACTATATTATCTCTTCATTGAGGTGACATTAGTTTTCTATCTTTCCTTTTTAAAGGAATAAATAAAATTAATCATGCTATTAACAACTGCATCTATATGATTTCAAACATTGCACACTTCAATGTTTCCTCCAGTAAGACAAAATTACCGACAATCTTAAAAATGTAAAGTACATGTTCATGTAAAAATATTTCTAAAAACTTTACTAGCAGTGATAGCAAGGTTTTAGAAATTACTGTCTTTTAAGTCAGTAATGGTTTGAATCAGGAAGATGGAAGTTGTGGGAGAAAGGAGAGGAAGTCAAACTGTGCTCCCTTCTGTAACCCAGCATTATATCCTTAAGTATCTTTTCAAAATGCCCCTATAGCTTAAGATCTTTTGAGTGTCCACATCACTTCTGAAAATGAGACTTTAGAGAGTAGTGTACAAAGGCTCATTTCAGCCTGTGGACCAAATCTTCCCTGGTTCCCTCTTAGTTCAGTAGGGAGAAGCTGTATCCTATTGAGCAGGGTTCAGAACACAAATCGACCATGAAGTACGTTCTGATTTTTTCCCTCCCAGCATAGCCCAAATGCTATAGCTCAATGCTATAATAATTCCCAAGGTAACTTTTTTTTGCCCTTCACTGAAGCATTTCTTGGACATTTTTGTGACTTTGTGAAATGTTTACTTACAGGTACAGCAACTAAGAACGATCGATACAGCATTCTGAAAAATAATGAAAAACCAAACCCCAACCAAGTATGAGACTAAGCAACACTGGATGAAATTGCATGGAATGAAGTAAAAGATCCAAAGAAAAAATTGAATGTAGTAAAAGAATTCAATTCTTGCCCAAGAGTTAAGGGAGTATGATAAATGCAGCATTACAGAAAAGTCAAAATGAAGAAGAAAACATTAAAAGTAGAAACCAGAATGCGAATGAGTCACAGAAAAAGGTTAAAAAGCCCCAGATATAGACAGACTGGAATGATTAGAGAACCATATTGACAGAAAACCCATGATAAAAAAAAAAATCTGATTCTTCTATTTAGCTGAAGAATTTTTTCTTCACCTGTATAGTAGGATTACATGTAATTTGCTATCAAAATCAGCAATACTAACAAAAAGCTAATTTCTGAAATAAGATCACACAAGTATCTGGAGAAAAGAGATTAGAAATACTGAATTAAAAGATAGGATGGATTCACTGAACACTATGAAGAACCCAAACTATTCTTAGCTTGCTAGTATTTTCAAATACATATAGCAAGATACAGATTAATACCCTGCGGCTGCTTTTATATCGCCAAAAAAACCTTACCTGGTTCTTGAAATACTTCTAGAAAAACAAAGCTTTTCTGCATTAACAAGGCATGACACTTAATCTACATGGAATGACCGTACTCCTAATGACACTGTGCTTTGCTTTGCAAACAAGCTCTTGTCTCTTATAGGCTGTTCACTAAATGCAATTTAGAAGCATAATGAATAATACGCCCGATCTACGTATTACATAAGGAAGTTTGACATAGAAAAATACTAATTCCAGTCAACTCCTTGACCTTCTTTTCTCAGTTTGGTGCCCTCATAGGTGTAGTCAGGTGTGGCTGTACCAATATGGTCGGTTTCCCCATATATACAAAGCATGAATATATATAAAGTAGTGTGTGTATATATATACACACACACATATACACAAAGTAGTGAATACTATTAAACATTTATAAGTATTACACATATGTGAGACAATTACAATGGATGACATTTCAATAAAGCCAGTTGGGTATTATCTCCATTACACAAAAAATAAAACATCAAATGAAAAACATTATCTTTGTATCCCAACACAACAAAAATATACTTCACTGAAACACAGAGATAGGAGTTCTCTTGGGCAGTGGAAATCATGGATGTAATAGAAGAGGCATGACTAGTCTTTGCCAGAAGACGCCAGTTTTTCTTTTGACACCCTCTACCACTTGAGCTCTAATTTGGCATTCGCAGTGGTCTGAGAGGAAATCATTCCTCCCACGTTGAAGTAAAAGATCATTAGCCATTGCTGGCAAGGAGATGAGCTGGAATATGAGAGAAAACAAAAAAAGGAATTTGACAGCTCTGTTGTCCTGCTAAATATATTCACTATCTTTTTGCTTTTCTTTCGGTCTGCATGACACATCTCTCCTGGCATCTCTTCACCGAATCAAAATGAAGCAGTCTTTCTTGGAATTGATGCCTTTCACCATTTATTCTCCACTTCTACATACTACAGATGCTGCATTATAGAACTCTTCACTCGTGCTAGGCTTGAGCACCTCTTTCTCAAGCCCTTCCATGCCAATCATGTACATGTGACAGAGAGAATACATGCAGAACTGTAGCCCTATTAGTATTATTTGTTTACCTACTCTGTCAAAATCAAAAGTAAGCCTCAGCAAAGAAAGATAATTTGATATTTTTGACCCACTATCTGAATGGACTTCTGTTTCCTGCCACTATACACTTTGCAATTGTACTTCAGCTTTTGTGAGCCATGAGTTCAAGCCAAAGTAAAGGCGGGGGGGGGAATACAACCAGTCTATTTGAAAGGTGAACCGTGTAACGATAAACCATTAGGAACCTACGTTTTTGCAGTAACATCCACGAACTGCCCTGGGCGGAAGTGAGCAGCATACAAAGGAGTACCTTCAAAAGAAGAGGAGAGATCATGTTCAACTAAGTGCTGAAATCCTCAAACCACTATCCAGTCATTACCATCCAGGGTAGATTACAGTCACAGGAAAGGAAATAAAACTTTGCTTTTATTCACCTATTATTTGTTCTTCTTTATAAACCTCACTGACTAAAATAGATGCTTTGTAGCTACTACTCAAGCACATTTCTCAGTCCCTGGACCAATTTCAGATGAGTAGGAAGGAAGGGTTGGGGATCTACTCGGATATGATGTGCTTCAAACACTAAGAGACAAAGCCCAAAACGCTTAATTAGTTAAGACTCACAATAAACAAACTTGGCAAGAAAACCAAACGTGCTCCACCTGTAACTACTAGCACTTCACAAGATGGAAGTTTTTTTTTTTTTAAGAAAAACTAAAAACCCAAACAGTTCCTATAAAAATGGGTTTAAAAAAAAAAAGTTTTGCAATACTTCCTCTTTGTTAAGACACGGTATTTCCAAACTAAAGACTGTGGCAGAAGTACAGTTCCATCCACTGGGGAATTATATATACACTATGCTTTAGCAGAAGTGGTGCTACTGTCAGTCAGCAACATCACTCACCTGACTCCAATTACACTCATTCCCCTAAGTGCTTGTAGTATCAAAGTTTTAATTTTAATTAAAGATTTATTTTGCCATCAGCAATTTTTTTCATCCAAGCACAATATTCTTTTATTAGCAGCTTTAAAAAAAAAACAAACAGAATTGATAACTTAGTTCATTACAAATGAACTTTAATCTGAAGTTCCATGCAGCTGCATCTTTAAGAGAGTTTCCAGACTGCTTTAAGTAAATTTAAAAAATGAAATTTTAATCCCTTCATGTCCACAGCCATTTTCATGCTGTTTTCAAATCTGTATGAACGCAAACTGAAATGATGTAAACCTCTCTCAAGTCTCAAGCATAAAAATCCTCATATTATTTCACATTATATTTATATGGTCCATACACACCTGGGATAAGATGCCTGTAAATTGACAGCAAATCAGTTACATGAAGGATGTTATGTACAAAATACACACACTGCAAATTCAGTTTATTGTAAACTTGCAATTCTGCTCATCTCAAACTTTTGCTTCCATTTAGCAGTCCAGACTTCCTTTTCATGTCAGATCTGATGTTTATCAGTTACCACAACTGTCTTAAGAAGGTCTTGCAAAAACCTTCTCTAATGGCAAAAATCAGATGCAATACATTAGAATTTCCAACCCTTCATAATTCTTGGGAAAATACCTATAACTGTCAAAAAGCACAAAACGAAAAGCAACCTAAATACACTAGCTAATAAAGCCTTAAAACCATAAATTTTTTCATTAAATCTCCAAACTTCTAATACTGATTTTTAGTAAGAATGCTTGTTATAACATGTTTTAATGTGTTTTACTTTGCAAACTGCCAGAAAAAAACCTGATATATGACAGCCATCAGTCCTACTTCTGAATGCAGCAAGAAGAAACAAACCTCAGACTGCTATTTTAGGCTTCTGAGAAACATTACCACAATATTCTTGGTGCCCCTTTCATATGGATAAACAGATAACTTCCTGTAAATGCATTCATATTTATTCCCAACAAGTGAGTCAAGGTTAGAAACATTTATTTCTTAACTCAAAGTTCATACTAGCTAGCAGTTTGGGTCAGACTTATTTCCTAATCAATGAAAACAAAACAGGAAAAAGGAAAAATCCTATTCCTCATCACCTAGAAAGTGAAGCCCATTTTCTAGTTTTTCCTAAGAAAAAAGTTTGTTTGTGCTCAGTGACAAAGAAATAAGAATTCAGCAATTTCTAGACAACACAAAAATGAAATACACATAACTTGGTTTACCTAAATGCGGCAGACATTAAATGATTATGCATGTAATATTCAGTAGCTTAAAAAGATTACCTGGTTTAATTATGGCATCATCTGTTACATTAAATGTTGTAACTTTCTGCTTCCGTGGTACTCCAGCTTCTTTAAAAATTTCCATTGCAGACTCTGATTTCTGTAATGAAAAGCAGCCATAAAAAAGTGATGTTAAAATACGCAAGGATAAACCTAGCACAGAAAGTGATTACAGAATGTCAACACCACTCAAACAGATATATCATGACACTTTTATCTTGAGACTAGCATTTTAACTCTATATAAAATTAATTTAAAACTCCTGTGTCTGCATTTTATTTTCTGTCAACTAGTTACCCTACAGCTACATCATATAAACAGGAGAAATATGAATATCAGAAAAGGGAAACCCATCATTTAGAATGTACATAAAATATAATACTGCTTTTTCATGACTTTCAAAGAGTTTTAGAGTAATTTAAAATAATTTTCTCCTTTTCAAAGCTTCTGATGATTTAGTTCCACACCACCATAAATATAATTTATTTAACTAACAAAACCATAGAAATAAAGCCTGGTCTTGCAGAAACTTCTAGAAATGCTTAACTTCCCACAGAGGAAAACCTAGAATCTCTGGACAAAAAAGAAAAATTAAGAACAACAAATTTATCATTCATGTATTTTTGAGATATACCAAGTACACTCAGTGTCAAACCACTGCTGACTCACTAAAGTAGGGCTCTCCTTTTTAGAGTAGTCTGACAAAGTTGAAAGTACTTAAAATTGTTCTCAGCTGTTTTAAACAAGACAACTCACAGAACAGCTGACCACTGAGATGATACCAAGCAACAGAAACAGTGATGCAGGAAAACTGTGGCCATAGGAAAAAAGCAATGCATCTGATTTTTCTTCAAATGAATTCTCCTAAAAAGCAATTTAAGCATCTGACAATACTGTCACACTTGGATAGTCACATCTGTGAGGTTCACATCTCAAATTTCTGTGCGGTTCTCTCTCTCAAAAATAATTTTGTGTATTTTAAGACAAAATAATGTGAATAAATTTAAAATTGTTATTTAGTTTATTTTGATAATCTGCATATCGCCCTTTTGTTTTTAAAAATCTGTTTAGAAATATTAGAACAGAGGAATTTTTGTGAAGAATAAGGAAGCAAGATGATGAGGATGTCTGACTTAGACACAAACCAGAAATTTGAACTGTATGAATCTGTCCTAATTTGAGGAAAAAGTGTGGATAAAAAGTTTTTGAGAGTTAAAGATTTTTTGAGTGATTTGTCAACTTGAGTTCGTAGTACAAATCACTCAAATATCTTTAAAAAAAAGTCATCAACTAAATGCAAAATCTCCCCTAAGACCACAAAATGTTGAGGCATCAATGGAGGACAACTGTATTAAACCATATGTATCATATGTAAGAATTAATTCTTATGTATAATGGGATTTTTAAGAAATCTAAATGCCGGCATATCAATAATCCTTTGCTTCCACTATTATGTAAAACCACCACCTTAGATGATAGCAAGCGGAGGTCTGTGCTCAGCATGGGTGCCTGGAAAGACCTACTACGGCTGAAGAAAAGCATAGGGAAATCAAAGGGTAAAAACTGCTTACATCTCAAAAGTCCTACTATAGCCTTGCACTGTTCTACTTTAACAAGTTTTCTTCAAACAGTCAAGTCAGAGAGATGTATTTCTACAAACAAAACACTGCAGTCTTTACAAAGCCTTCATAAAAAGCAATACTGAAGAGAATAATGTTGAGTGAATTCTCAGATGTTCTTATTTTTAAAAAGACCAACAATATCTGCCAGTACTATAGGAAAACAATTGATATGACCTCACTTAAAGGAGACATATAAAACATTTTTGATGAAAAAATTGTTAGAACACTGACAGAATTATACTTTTGAGAATAACTTTGCATTGAAAAAATAATGAAAAATCTGTTCACTTGTAACAGACTGACATACATCAAGCTAAAAAGGAAAAAAACCTCTTGCTAAACATGCAATACCCCTTAGCATTTGTTAAGCCATTTGACACTCGAAATAAATACATGAAACTCTTTGTTAGGAAAATTACTGGGAGAATCATTAGATTGAATTCATTAAAAAGCAGTAGCTGTGAGGAATTTGAGGAAGACAGACGTTCCTACGAGGAATTAACAGAAAATAAACTGCTTATGCTAATACAATACAGTATCATTCTGGTTGCTTTTCATTCTCACTTTCAGACACTTCAGAGACAAAAAAATACGTAAGAAACTGATAAACGTAGGACAGCAATGATTCAAACCTGCAGCTAAACCACAGAAAGACATAATCTGTTAGTACCTTAACCAGTAAAATTGTTCAGAATTGGCAGGCCAAGTTCTTTCTTAGAAATTATCTAGTTTATACAATGATAATGATATGAACAACAACAACAACAACAACAACACAGAGCTCAGTCTCAGGCCATGCCCTCCCCACAGACTGGTCTAAGGATATTTAATTAATTTATTTATTAAAATTAATTCAACCAAATTAGTAGGAGCTAACTTGGAAAAAATTATGTCCAAGAGAGTCTTTAACACAACTCTACTAAAAAATCCTTGAGTTGACTTTTTAGGTAGTTCAACTTTGAAAAAATTTTCTTAGTTCACAAGAGCTGTTTAAACAGAAATCTCCTATATACCTCCTTGCTTCCTGCACATTTTTACTCTGACAACATATTGAATCACTGATAACATCATCTTTATGAAAAGATCAACTGTATGGAGTCTAATGTGCATAATACAACTTCAAAATTATTATTCACATGAGTCTTGCATGTCTTACACCAAGGTAACAGGACAGAAAAAAAAAGAGCTGTGATTTCTCCAGGAAAAATGTCACACCTGGAAAGTGGAAATGGACTAAAGTGACAGGGTAGACACCTGAAAAGTACAAGCAATGATGGTGAAACATGGAAAAAACCCACTGAATAAAATAAAGATACCTTAAAGTATAAGTCTGTTCAAAATCAGTACAATATACTATAAAAGCCAACAGATTTATCAAATGAAAAAAAGCTCCTTCTTTCCTCAACTCCACTAAAGCAAAAACAAGTACACAGATTAATTTTGAGGCTCTGGGACAACCTTCTGTTTGAAAAAGGGAAATATATGTCCTCAAAAAGCCACAATCACCAGCTGAGATAATCTGCTTAATAATCACGAGTCCCCCTTTCTTTTTTTTCTTTTACTCACCTAAATCAAACAAATGAGTGTCAAGATACTGCAAGAAGTGAAAAGTGATATTTTATAGAAATAATGGATCATAGAAACAGCAATCCTTTGAGGCAAAGCTTTGTTCCTGCCTTGATCTATAATTCAATCTTCCTCCTCAGGAATGAGAGCTCTGCTAGACAATCTTAGCCGTTGAAGGTGTCTGGGAATTCCACATCAGGCGTTTGGGGTGTCAGGAATCTATCTTCCTGAAAATTTAAGGCTTAAACTTACTCATCAGTAAAACTATATGCGAATTAAACAACCTCAACAGACCTGTGGAAAAACAACTAAAGCTAATAAAACAGTATGGCAGAGTAAGTTAGAGAAGAGTCTTCTAAACAACTGATGATGCTGGGTAGGTTTACAACAGCCCATTAAAGCATGTATCTTGCAGTCCTCGTATTGCATCTCCACAGACAGGGCAAACATGTTTCTACACTGCTAATGGCCCTTCAGACCCTTTCATCAGCATGGGACACCACGCATCAAAGCGACTTCCTAAACCCACAGCTTTACTATAGAATCAAGAGGCAAAACTTTCAAAAACCACTTCTTGCTATTTTCTTAACCAAGAATTGACAGTAGCATTAAAGAAATAAGCAAGGGTGAATGTGACAAAAGATCGATTCCAAAGCATGCATGTCTGCCAATTAATCTTTTAGAGTCTACCTATGCTACTTTTGTACTGTACTCACAAGAGAAGCAACTACTCTAACAAAAACACTCAAAGTGGTTCACTTACAGAAAAAGGAGATGCATTTTTGCCTCCAACAAGTAGCTTAGACGTTTTTCCACCCGACTCTTCCTTTGAAATGTATCTTAAAACATGGCAATCTTGCACCTTAAGAAAAGAGAAATTGTGTTTATTTGAATATAAGCAGATGTGTACGCTTTGTGGCCATAGTAAAAGATTATCAAAATAAGTGAAAAATATCAGTCTCTGTTTTCATTTGTATCTAACAGGAGATACAGCCTACAAGAAGGGGAGTGCGTTACCTTTTTACCATAGACATTCTTTTTCCAATCAACTAAAGGTTTATCTTTAAAAAAAAATTAGTAGAATGCAAACTGTATTTTCATAAATGCTCTAGGAATCAAATAAACTTTTATAGTAATCTTTTGCCTGCAAGATCTACAAAATCCCTACTGTATACAGCCACAAAGCACACAAAAAGAGCCCACATTTCAGACTCCTGCTCCTTTGCCCTGTAAAACTGATGTCCTTCACAGCACTGGTTCATCATATGGCAGCAACAGGTCAGCGAACAGCCTCATCACAGTAGTAGCTGCCAGAGAACATGAAGCAGCAGCTTCAGAGCTACAACAGCTCTGAAATCAAGGTGAAACTAATCCCAAAGTGCCTACAGGTGGCAAAATAAAAAAAGTGAAGTGGGGTAGTTAACCCCAGCTTTATGTTGCCTCCCATCTTCCCTCACCTAGGCAATAATATGCATAGTTCTGCAGCACTTGAATAGCTGAGGCAGAAGGCAGACCGGTCCTAGAAAGTTCAGGATATAAACAGAGAATAGGCATGGTGTACTATGCAGGGTTGAAATAAATCTTTCCTTTCTTCAGGGATTTCCTACTCTGTAATTTCACTTTTGCCTGAAACTTCTGGTTAGTGAGATGAAATGCATTATGATTTATTTCACCTTAAGTAGCGTGACAGCATGTTTTTTTCCCGACTTGGTCCATATTGGCATCATTCCCAGTTTTACTGCAACAACACCAACTCTGATGGAATCTGTAGATCAAAGGAGAACATGGATGCAAGTCCACACTTAATATTTGAAACAGCCCATCTCATAACCTGCAAAGTCCCATTAACTCTGATCTTTCCTAAGGAGTTGAAGAACGAGAGAAAACATTGCTGACTCCCTGCAGGTACGCTGGAAATAACCTGTTCATTGTTCTTAATCCCACCAGCAGTAAAGTTCTGTCTGTTCCAGTTGTGTTTGACAGAACATGCAAACTAGTTCCCCATTAAGATTAGAACAACCAATGCTTCAGACTTTTATTTTTTAGAAAACACAACACCCATGCAGAATATTAGAGCCAAACTAACTATTGAAAAGTTGTAAACTAAATATTGAAAAGTGAACCTCTGTAGGAGGTTCCTCTCACCTCAACTTTTGCACATTTTTGCCACTGTAACTGTACAGCAAAGGCAACCTGTCAAGTCTCGCTTCTGACAGTTCGTGGGGTGAAAAACAGAACACTTAAGATGAAGACTAAATGCTTTAAAGTTTGAAAAATGCTCTTTGTTCCAGTTTCCACTATCATACCTGAGGATCTTCTCATGGATTTGCACACTCAGGTGGCTGTTTGCTGTCAAATGATGTGACCCTTCTGAAGGCTCAAAAACTTTATATTTTGTTCTAGTCCATAAGACTTTGGAATCACTGAATAGAAGTAGGATGTATTATGTACTACACATTTTCTTCAGAGTCCAGCAATATTTACAAGAACATTTTCAAGTTCATATAATTTATATTCTAGGGAGTCTTTCTTAGTTTATTATCGTGTCGTTGTCTGGCAGTGGGACTGCATTGGTACTGATTTGGACCAAAAACGAAGTTCTTACAAGGTTCTTAACACCCTATAATATTTTAAATGCTTTTTAGAGAACTGATATATTACATTTACTTCTTTACTAGGAGATGTATTGGATGATTGAGGTAAAAGCAAAAAGGAGAATACTTTACAAGACACAGTCCTGATGTTACTGAATGCAACAACACAACAACAATAATTTCAGCATGAGTTTGGTATTTCAGAAGAGATACCTTCTCACCTGGTTTCCACTCATTCAGTGGCCAAGGCTCATCTTTCAGAGGGCACAGCTTACTGGCTGTCTGAGCTTTGCATTCATCCGCAGTTATCTTCTTAAGGAACTCGACATTCTCTTCGGAAAGATGTTCATGCCACCATGTTGTACTGTTCACGTGTCTGACTACACAACTCAGCTGCCCCCTTTCCAGTGGTGGGAAAATGTTTTAAGTGTCTTATCAGTTCAAATAATGGCTCATAACATGTATGTTTGTAATGTAATACATACTACATATAATCACATAATACAGTATACAGTCATAAAGACCAGAATTATACTAGCAAGCTCTTCAACCATCACTCAAACTGGCCACCCTTGATCAACAACACCTAATTATTTGTCATGCTCTCATCTAACTTTTAAAGTATTCCAAAATACACCAAAGTGGCGCAAGAAGCAACAACAAATCAACCAACCACTCCTACGATAAAAAAGCTAGACCCATGAATGAAGAGATAGCAGAGGGTGTTCTTTAACTTTAGCAAGGCTTTCAACAGTCTCCTATAGCATCTTTCTATCCAAGCTTGGATGTTATGGCATGGATGGGTGGGCTATCAGATGGGCAAAAACCTAGCTAGATCAGGTTGAAAGAGGGGCAGTTAATGCTTTGCACTCTACCAGAAAGCCAGTTACAAGTAGAATTCAGGAGTCTGCTCAGGGATTTGTCCTGTTTAATATCTTCATCAGTGACCTGTAAGAGGGGATGACTGTACCCCCCTGAACTGAAAGAAGCAGTTGATACTGCTCAAGTGCATCCCTCTGCCAGTCAAAGGGACAAGCCAACGAGGAACCCAATGAAATGCGTGAAGGAGAAATGCAAAGTCCCACACCTGCGATGGAATAACCTCTTGCAAGGGTACAGGCTGTAACTTCATCAGAGATGCTCTCCAGTGAGGGAAAGGACCTGGGAGTCTTGAGGGGCAAAAAGGTAAAAAAGGAGCCAGCAGGCTCCCAGAAGCAATGAAGACTAACAGCATCCTGGGCTGTATCAACAGAAGCACCCTCTCAAGGGTAGCAGTTATCCTTTCACCAGCACTCCAAGTAGACCACATTTGCAATACTAAATCCAGTTTTGGGTCCCTAGCACAACAGGGATATTTATAAATGAGCAAGTCCAGTTGCCTGACAAGGAATATTGAGGTAACTAGGCTTGTTTAGTCTGGAGAAGACGCTTAGGGGGGGGGACCTGACAGCAGCTTTCCAGTACCTATGAGAAGGTTACTGGCAAGACAGAGCTAGCCATGTTTACTGAGGTGCATGCCAGGAGAATGAAAGAACTGGTATAAACTGAAAAAGGGGTTCTGACTTGACATAAGGAAAAAATATTCAGCCTGAGGACCATCAAACACTGGAATAGGGGCCCAGAGAGACTGTGCAGCCTCTGTCCTTGGAGGCTCTCAAGGCCCGACCAGACAAAGCCCTGAACAACCTGGTCTGACCTCAGAGCTGGCCACATTGTGAGCAGGAGGTTAGAATTGAAAGCTCCTCAGCTCCCTTCCACCCTCAGCAACTCTCAGATTTTACATTCACTGCTAAACAGCTCATTCTACTGCCATCATTTTTGTGACGGCTAAGAAAAGCTTGAATGCTCCTCAATCCTCTGCAAGTACAATGAAACACAGTATTTAACAATACAGTTAGCGAATGCACGTGGCAGGCCAAGGTGACTCAAAAATTACCCCCGCAGGAAACCGGGGCCCTATCACCTTTGCACGCGCAAACTTTCCAGGCGCTGCCAACAGGCCGCACCCAGAGGCCTCTCCAAACGGTGGAGAGCGGAGACGCCGCCGAGGGGTCCCTCATCTCGGGGCTGCGACAGTGG